TAAAACAAATTGAAACCCTTGAGTCGTTTCTTGTCATTCAGAACTAGGTAACGTTTAATTTAATATTCTTTAATTGCCCAAATATTAATTTAGCCCTTGCTCTTTGGAAGGCTCCTGGCTAGTACTGGGGATAATAAGAAAAATAGGCCCAACCCCCGCCTACAAAACTGTGGAGTCTAAGAGCAGCTCTCATATGAAAAATAGGTGGTGAGATACTCCCTAAGATGGAAAGGACTAGTAAAAACAAGGGGTAAAAAGGAGGGAGGGGACCTCCAGATGAAGAGTTCTAGTGTAAAATGCCCCAAGGCAAGGCAGATTGAGCCTTTGGGCAGCTGAAAGCCCTGTGATGGGGAGTAATTTTTTAAAAAATTTATTTGTTGTAGAGAGAGAGAGAGAGAGCACAAGCAGGGGGAGTGGCAGGCAGAGGCAGAGGGAGAAGCAGATTCCCCGCTGAGCAGGGAGCCCGATGCGGGGCTCAATCCCAGGACCCTGGGATCATGACCCGAGCCGAAGGCAGACGCTTAACGACTGAGCCACGCAGGCGCCCGTGATGGGAAGTAATTTTAAGTTAGCCGTATGGTGGGCTAAAGGTGGCTGTGGAACTGGTGAGCCAGGTGGTGGGTCTCTGAGTTGAGAGATTTAAGTCTGGAATGGAAAACTACCTTTAACAGTTACTTTGGGATTGTGAATAAATCAGAGAGGATCTCCACCCAGGGCACGGATGGAATATGTCCTATGCTTCCCAACACAGGTGAACACAGGGCACAAACTAGGTGTTTTACACAAACCATCTCCAGGGAGTTTCTGAGACCTAAGGGCGGTACTCTTTTGAGGTTGGAAACTCAGAAGCCACTGTGCAGGTACTCTTTCCTGTAAACTGGGGAGTCAGAACCCATTTTATCAAAAGAGCATTCAAATTCAGTGTTACTGTTTTTGTTTTGTTTTTTTACTTGGCTTCTAATTCTGCAATGTCTAAAAGAGGTATAGATTTTAGGTGATGGTGAAATTAATGAAGATAGGGGTGCTTTGGGTAAAAGGGCAGAGGAGAGGAAATAATTAATCTTTGAATCCAGTTCTAGAGGATCTGAGTTGCATTCAGCTGGAAAAAACTCCCCCATGCTCGAAATATGATTTATTGGGGAGGGATTTACTTTAGTGTCTCTGTAAGCAGCACTTTGGACTGATTTGGTGTTCCATGTCCTAGAGTGGCATATATTCTCTGATATCTACTAGATTAAAACAAATATTCTATCAGGGTGGGTGGTATCCTCTGGGGTCAAAATAATCATAGCCATAATAATAACAGGCATTGTGTAAAGTCTCAGTGCATTCCAGGCATCTTTCCAGATGCTTTATGTACATTAACCATGGTCCACCAGGCCCTGTGAGACAGGATCTAACAAACCTTCTTCACAGATGCAGAGCCTGAGGCCCACAGAACTTGCTAATGCACCCAGTTCAAAGAGCTAATAAGTGATAGGGCTAGGCCTAGACCCTTGGTCTGAATCTGTCCAGAGCTCATACTTTTCCACTCCTCCCAGCCTGAGGCTGACCATTGATCACTTAATTCACTTTCTCCTACCACTCCAAAATGTATCTCAAGCCGATAAAAAGGACTCTGTGACCAAAACATTGGATTGGAATACATAACCAGTGTGATAAGAATACCAAAATAAATCAGAGATGTGAATAAAGGAGAGAACGAGACAGTGACAGTATGATCATCTACATGTGTAAAGTCAGATATCCTCCAAAGATCAGGGGTTCACAAAATCATCTGGCTCCATCCTTCTCTGTAAAAAGTGAATCTTTTATGTCGATGCTAATGCTGGGTATTCATCCTTTCTCATGGCTGAGTAATATTCCATTGTATATATGGACCACATCTTTATCCATTCCTCTGTTGAAGGATATCTCGGCTCCTTCCCCAGTTTGGCTATTGCGGACATTGCTGCTATGAACATTGGGGGGCAGGTGCCTCTTCTTTTCACTGCATCTGTATCTTTGGGGTGAATACCCAGTAGTGCAATTCCTGGGTCATAGGTGAAATAAGTCAAGCAGAGAAAGACAATTATCATATGGTTACGCTTATATGTGGAACATAAGGAATAGCATGGAGGACATTAGGAGAAGGAAGGGAAAAATGAAGGGGGGAATCAGAGGGGGAGACGAACCCTGAGAGACTATGGACTCCAGGAAACAAACTAAGGGTTTCGGAGGGGAGGGGGGGGGGGGGGTTGGGTTAGCCCGGTGATGGGTATTAAAGAGGGTACGTATTGCATGGAGCACTGGGTGTTATATGCAAACAATGAATCATGGAACACTACATTAAAAATGAATGATGTATTGTATGGTGACTAACATAACATAATAAAAAAAAAGTAAATCTTTTAGAGCTATCCTAAGTGTGGCTGGTGAAGAGAAGGAATATATCAGCTTTTTTTTTTTTTTTCCTCAGACACCACAACACCTGTCCTGGGCTCCCTGATGTATGCTGCACTTTCCTAATCTTACATCAGTCTTGGCACATGGACTCATTTTCTGCAAGATTTGCAGTAGAGAAAGTGGTCGAGTGTTCGCACGTACACGTTGTTTCCCAGGAAGCCTTTAATCAAGAGACTGGCCAAGATGAGGACCCCCATGAATGAGTACTGAGAAGACAACTACCCCAACATACTGGGGTCATCCAAAGACCTAAGGATGGTGACCTTAGCTCAGTAGAAGGAGTCCCAGGCTCTGAAAGATATGGTGAGGACCATGAATGAGAAATGATGGAAGGACCCAGCCAGAACAGCAAGGTCCTATAGTATCGCATCCCTGCTGTCTTTTGGGAGACACCCAAGGACCATGATCAGATGAAGATCACCCTCACTTCCAACCTGGAATTCTCAGGAAAGGAGGACCTACAGGTAAGATGAGCAGCTACAGGAAAGCACAGAATGAAGTTACATGATCGGTCATCTGTCAAGGTGAAGACCCAAGAGTAGCACCCACAGCATAAAAGGAGGTCCCACAACATCTCCTCTGCTGTCATCCCTGGGAAGCCCTGGGCAGAGCTGATTTCAGCCTGGAAAGTCTCAGGAAGGTGAGGGCCTCCATTTAATGGAAGCTGCCTCAGTTTTGCAGAGGGAGGGACCTGGGCCCTAACAGGAATTCATGTGAAGACCATGAGTGTTATCAGGGGACGCCCAAAGCAGAGGGGGCTAAATAGAATCCTGTACCATTCTTAGCCTTGGGGGACCCAGAAGAGCTCTGAGGAGTCCCCTCATTCTGCCCGGTGAGTCTCAGGGAAGGAATGGCCTTATCTAGCAGGATGGTCCCAGCTCTGCAGGGGGAGAAGTCTTGACCATAGCTAGAGTCAAGGTGTGGACCCTCAATGCAAGTGAATCTCTCCTGAAAGGGGGAGGTTCACAGAGCCTGCCCCCCCCCCCCATGAGGCTTGAGCAGCTCAGGAAGGAGTACCCCCGAGCGGCAGGACCAGAGATTCCCCTCTAGGGACTCAGGAGGGTGGGGGCCCTGGGGGCTGGCAGGCCTGGGCCGGCAGAGGGAAGAGCCGCAAGCGCTGGGGTCCCACAGAACCCCGCCCACCCCTGCTTTCAGCCCCCGGAGACCCCGGTGCCGCCACCCCCGGATGCGGATCTCCTGACTTCCGTTCTGGGCGGGACCTCGACCGCTGGGCGCGGCGGTTTGTTTGGCGGCGGATGGTTTCCCAGACCGGTCTAAAGTCAAGGTGAGGACCCTGGGGGGGACTGAAGAGACTATTTACCCCCCATAACGAAGTTGGCCCCCCGAACCTGCCCCTTCGGTCGGGCTCTGGGAGGTCCCAGCAGGCTGGCTGGCCGAGCAATCCCATTGTCCTCAGGGCGGCCTCAGGAGGCGAGGGCCTTTGTCTAAAGGGGGCCAACCCACTCCTGATGGCAGCCCTGAAATTTGGGAGTATTTCGGGCTGAGATAACCCCTCATTTCTGCCTAGGGGGTGACTCAGGTAGAGAAAGGCCTTTATCTAAAGGAGGCAGTCCCATGAGCAGAAGGAGGAGTTTTGGCCCTAAAGGAGTAAAGGTAGGACTGTCAGTGCTAATAAGGGCCCCTCTCCTCAAAATAGGAAGCTGCACAGAACAGCCCCTGGCTCTCATATCTGGGAGTCCCCAGGAGAGGTACCCAAATGTGCAGCACAGTGACTTCTAGCTACTCTGGGGCCTTTGCTTTTAGGCTTGTAGACTCAGGTAGATGGAGAAATCCCAATCCTAGCTGCAGTCAAGGTCAAAGTCCTGAATGAGGTCTGAGGGAGCCACTGCCTCCAGAACAGTGGGGTTGAAGGGTCTCGCCCCTGCTGTTAGCAGGCATAGGCCTCAGTCAGCTCACTCTGGCTGTCAACTCAGGTCCCAGAAATGCGAGGACCTTTGTCTAAGGGTCATGGCCTCAAATCAGCAGAGGGCAGAGCCCCAGGAAGGGTTTGGAGTCAAAGGGAAGATCCTGAGTAAGGAAATGGAAACCACTCAATACCCAATTGAAAGAGTAGCCTAGGGATGCCTGGGTGGCTCAGTCGGTGAAGCGTCTGCCTTCCACTCAGGTTGTGATCCCGGGGTCCTGAGATCAAGTCCCGAATCGGGCTCCCTACTCAGTGGAGAGTCTGCTTCTCCCTCTCTCTCTGCCTTTCCCCCCAACTTGCATTCTCACTTACTCTGCTCTCTCTCTCTCAAATCAATCAATAAATAATCTTTAAAAAAGGAGTAGCCCATGATGCCACCCCTGCTGTTAGTCCTGGGAGTCCTAGGAGTACCCTGACTTCCTCCATTGGGTTCTCAGGAGACGGGCTGACCAAGAGCAAGAGCCCTGTTGGGGCTTAGCGCCATGCCCTCACAGATATCTGCAAAGGTGGCTTCTTAAAAGCCAGGGTGGTCTCTCCCTGCTGAGGTGCTCCCACTCTCATCTTCCCCGCTCCAGGTACCAACATCTCCCGCCCTCCCGTCCACTCTTGTGCCCATTGCCCTGACCCAGTCATGCCTCGGGGCCAGAAGAGTAAGCTTCGTGCCCGTGAGAAACGCCGCCAGGCCCGAGGTGAGCCCCAGGGCCTTGGGGGTACTCAAGCCACTGCAGCAAATGTTGAAGAGTCCCCCAACTCTCCTGTTTCTGGGGATACTCCCCTGAGTTACCCTGCTGCTGGCGCTTCCCAGGAGCCTCAGGGATCCCCAGCCACTAGCTCTCCTGCTGCAGGTGTTTCACGCCCGAGATCTAATGTAGGTGCCAAGAGCCAAGTTCGGAAAAATAAAAATTCCTCTCAGGCCTCAACTTCCCCTGAGAGTGCTCGCAACGATCTTCTAACCAGGAAGGTGGGGATGTTGATGCAGTTCCTGCTAGAAAAGCATAAAATGAGGGCACCCATTTTGAAGGCAGACATGCTGAAGGTCATCAACAAAAGGTACAGGGAGGACTTTCCTGAGATCCTCAGGAAAGCCTCCGAGCGCATGGAGCTGGTCTTTGGCCTAGAATTAAAGGAAGTCAAGCCAGGCGGTCACTCCTATACCCTCGTCAGCAGCCTAGACCTCACCAGTGATGGCAGTGTGAGCAGCGCCGGGGGTTTTCCTAAGAATGGGCTTCTCATGCCTCTCCTCGGTGTGATCTTCTTGAGTGGCAACCGCGCCTCTGAGGAAGATATCTGGGAATTCCTGAATGTTTTGGGTATCTATGATGGAAGGAGGCATTTCGTCTTTGGGGAGCCCAGGAAGCTCATCACCCAAGATTTGGTGCAGGAAAAGTACCTGGAATACCGCCAGGTGGCCAACAGTGATCCTCCACGCTACGAGTTCCTGTGGGGCCCCAGGGCCCATGCTGAGACCAGCAAGATGAAAGTCCTAGAGTTTGTGGCCAAGATCCATGATACCGTCCCCAGTGCCTTCCCGTTGCATTATGAAGAGGCTCTGCGAGATGAGGAAGAGCGAGCCCAAGCCCGAGCCGCAGCTGGGGCTGCCTCTACTACCAAGGCCGGTGCACGTTCCCGGGCCAAGTCCAGCCACTCCTCTCGTCCCTAGACAGGGCTGAGGCAGATTCTTTGCTTTGTTGTTGAGGAGGGCTGCCAACTTTGAAGTAGTGAGAGGCTAAGGTGGGGTTGGCGAGGCCATAATATTTATCTTCTTTGTTTTCCTGTTATACATGTGTAGCTTACAAATGTAGTTCCTTTCAATAGAATGTTTATTTAGATTCAGAATCCAAGTCTATAAATGACCTGGATCACACATTGCTGTCAGATTAGATTTAAGAGTAAGAGTAGTTTTGGTGTTGTGTAATAAAGCCTGAAAATCCTTGCATCTTCTTTGGGTTCCAGAACAACATAATATGGCTTTAGAATGGGGATTTTTCTTGGAAATATGAAAGAACTAGCAAAAATATAGCTGTGGTTTTAAAATAGAAACGAAGTAAAATGTAGTTAAATATTAGTTCTATTCATTTTTGTCTTCCTCTCTGTAAAATTCAAGGATATATACCTAAATGTCCTTAACTTATTCAAGAATGCAGATAAAATTAAATAGTAATAAGTTACATTCCTTGCTCTATGCCCCATTTACTCTTATCATTAATTGAGCATCTGGTCTTTGGAAGGTTGTATGTTAGTAGTGATGATGCTAAGGATAAAGAAGACCCTGCACATAGATTTTTAGAGTGTAAGAGCAGTTATTATATAAGGACAATGGTGTGATGAACTCCAACATGTAAGACAAGTTTGAAAAAAAAGCAATGTGGAAGGGGGGCAAGTGAGAGCAGTGATGTATAAATTCTCTGAAGCAGGACACTTGGGGGTCTCCTCAGTGGCATAGCTGCCATTCAGGAAGACAGCAGTGCAGTCTCTGACATCTCCTGGACAAAAAAAAAAAAATTCTCAGAGATGAGGGTAGTTCCTTCTGGTGTGAAAAAAAGCATAATAATAATTACCATTTATTAAAGACCCAATAATTGTCAGTCACTGTGCCAGGTGCTTCACATACATTACGTGTGTTCCAGCAGTCCTACAGGACAGGGCTTCTCCAACCCGCTTGGCAGATGAAGAACTTGAAATATTCTCAAGTTCACATAGCTGATGAAGTGACAGAACCAGGAGTAGAGTCTGGTCTGGTTCCTCTGGAACCCACGCTGTTCCACTCCTCACAGCCTGAGGCCAACCTCGTGTCTCTTAATTACTTTCTCTTCTCACTGTTCCATGATGGTTCTCAGGCAATGAAAGAAGGACCCTGTGGCCGAAGTACTAAAAGCAGGCCTAAAGAAGGAAGGTGCAAATGAAAATCAAGGACAAGTTGGGGATTGTCCATGGGATTCATTTTCCTAGGATCCTCCTGCCCCTCGCCCCAGGGCCCCTTGAGAGCTGGCGCTGCCCTGGTCCCAGCACTTGTGTGCAGTCCTGGCACTTCCCTGCATGGCAGCTCCCTCCCCTGGGACTTCCCCAGGGGCCCTCATGACCAAACTGGGACCTGGCCCGTTGGCCAGCTCTCCTGTGTGTCCTGCTCTGGAGGCTGCCCCTGCTCCTGGTGGCACAGAGAGCCACTATCCCCCGCCCTCCCCTGACTTAGAGCATTGCAACTCCCTGCAGCTCCCATCCCTCCCCCGGGCTCCCCTCTGACCACAACTGATTCTGACAGTGAGGTTTAGACACCTCCCCATCTCCCCTGGGTGCTTCCACCTCACTCTCAAAGTGTGTGTGTGTGTGTGTGTGTGTGTGTGTGTGTGTGTTTTGCCAAATCAGCTATTAACGTAAACTCTGATTTGACATGGAATCTATAAGGCCTTTGTTTATAACTGAGGCTGGAGAGGCCTTTTTTGGGAAACAACCTGATATTTGCAGTAGGATTTTAATGGAATATCTTACTTGAAAGTGGCCACTGAATCCACACACTGATGAGTGAGCTTAACGAAGTGCTCAAGAACCAAAGCCTCCCTCCTAAGTGGTAAATGAGGAAGGACTGAGGAAATCACTGCATAAGCAAATGCCTACTGAGGCTGAATTTCTAAAAACCCATCTTGGAGTCCTTAACAGATCTGCTGACTTTCAATAAAAAGGAAAAAGTATTCACCATTCTTCCAGTGAATCTTGTCTGTATCTGTCCCAGGGAAATGCTGGTGCTTAATGGCACCTCTTCAGGTATTCAGGCAAGCTCAGTCATGTGGTGGGTAGCTATGATTTTGACCCTGCGCCAAAAGGTAGGAGAAAATCCTCAGCCTACTGAGATTATACAGGTTATTGCAAATGGTCATGCAGAAAAGGTGCTGTTGAGGGACAAGGGGTAGCCCTCCCTCCCTGCTAAGAATTACAGGGTCCTTTTGAAAATTAGATATAATCCTATATTTGAAAACTCTGTCACATTGTATGCAGTAGAAAAATAATTGATGAATTTCAGGGTAAATTTGGCCTTCTCAGAAACCCCTCCAAGAAGGGAACAGGTCGTTGTTAACCACCAATTGCAGGAGTTGCTCTTCATGGAGCACCTACAATGTGGGAGGGATTCCATCCCCAGTCCACTTATAGTTGGGAAAGGTCATATGACTAACCCCTACCACTGATACATGAGTAGAGGCATGTTTGTCACCTCCAGGCCAAGGCACATGAAAGCCAGTGTGCTACTTCCGTGCTCTCTCTTCCATTCAGTGGCAAACATGGGGAGCCCATGTGAGATGATGGAGACAAGCTGGATCTCTGGGTCACCTGACAGCAGTGAGTCTCTGCCAAACCCCATCAGGTTTTATGTACATAAGAAAGTTCTTGTGTTAAGCCACTCAAATTTCAGGTTTTCTCTGTTGCATCAGTAACTTTATCTGAGGAATACACAACTGCTTTTTCTGTTGTTGGGCTCATTTAAACATTTGTCATTAGACAAAGCTAATAGTAGTGTAATTCTTGTTACACAAAGTTCTAACACAGGTCAGTCACAGTCTCCCCCCACCCTTAGAACTTTCCTCCAAATTTCAACCCCATTTTCAAAAGTAACCACAATGAACAGTCTGGTGTGTGTCATTTTAAAGCTGATTTGAGGCTTTTTCATACGTAGATGTACTGTAAAAATATAGTTTTTAGGCATACATAGGCAACAGTGTGCATATTGTTCTGTAACTTGCTCTTATAACTCAATGAAGTAAATACAGGATCTTTCCATGACAGCTCATATAAGACCTGCCTCACTTTCTAAAAGTGCTGTATTACCATTAGAAAAAGTTTTGGCCATCCCTGTCTCTGGTTCTGGCAAGCGACAGCGAGAAGCAGAGTTACCTTAGCCAGCCTGGATCCCTGTAGATCCATGGGAATGAATGGCTGTTGGGTTAAGATGCTGAGTTTTGTGGCTGTCCGTCAGGCACAAGAAGTTTACCAATAGGTACCTGAACGGTTAGCAGTGGTTACAAGCCATTTATGTTTGAATTTTTTATCTTTGTTTTCTATAGGTAGCATGTATTATTCTTAAAAATATTTTGAAAGGTTAAGAATAACTTCAGAAGGCCCGAGAAATTCCAATTGTAGATGTTAGAGAAATCTTTAAAATGGGAAAAATATGGAAGAAGGACTGGAGCACATTGGAAATGCTACATACTCAGAGCCTCGTTTTCATGCATATTTTATATTTTAAGTGATTTTTAAACTTAATTTTTCCAAGCTGAAACATTTTATAATTATTAGCCTCATAAGATGTTTCATCTTTATTTATACAAATATTTGGAATCTATGATTAGATGTGTGCATTTGGGTCAGTTGGACGTCCATTATTATGCATCAGTGCACTTTTGGAATTTGACATTCTCCTTTTTCAAATAAAATGCATATATACCTGGCACAGCTTCCTACTTGATTCTACTATTGTGCCTTACGTAAAATGACATTTAGTTTGCTTCTCCTTGGTTAGAATCAATAATGTAAGTCGTATTTATGTCCTGAAATAATATGTATTTCTTGTCTAGCCACATTGTAGGTTAAATAGGCTGTAGGATCTGGCCTGGGAAACTAATCACCCTTTGTTAATTCTTTGCAGTCAGGAAAGGGCAGCCGGAAATCTAAACAATCAACTTTAGAACTAAATATATAGGATAAAAGTTGTTTAGAAATTGAGATGTCTTACACTAAGGGGAAAATATTAATACTGCCCTTCTTGCAAAACAAATGGCGAACTCAGGCAAAGACAACTCAATCAGCATTTGTATCACCATATCAAGATTTCAAGTCAAACTACGAGTATAATATATTGTAATGTGTGTATGTGTTGTGATGTCAGTTTCCAGTTCAAGTTAACTCTACTGGCTTTATTAATCTGACAAACACATTTGTTAGCTAAACCCCAAAGACACTGCAGAATCTCTGTCAGACTGTTATAACTGAAACCCCCTAAAGTGTTTGGACTTACTGGTTCAATAATTCCACATCTGGAAATCTGTGGAAAGTTCTCTTTTCTGGGACTCGGGAACAGTGTGGATGACACTGTTGTGACTGTTCTCTCCTCTGCCACGTGTGCTACTGACTTGGCTTTTGTATGAGTCATGATAGGCTAGGCTGTGTTAGAGGGTCTAATTAATCCTGAAATCTCAGTGGGATACAACAGAGGTGTATTTCTCGAGGACACTACATATTCAGTGGGTATGGGGGAGGGAAGCATATTAGAGGTTGTTCTGGGGCTTGCCTACTCACTGAGGCAGGGGAGAGTAGCCAGAAAGTCTCTAAGGGGCTTTTCTCTGATTCAGGCAAACCTATTACTTCCTTTCCTATTCCATTGGCTAAAACTAGTCATATGTCCTTGATTAGCCTCAGGGGCATCTGAAAACTGGAGCTTTCCATGTGCCTAAGGAGAAATAAGGAACTGGATTTGGTGAGCATAGCACAATCTCCACTAGAGCTTTCAAGACACTACCCTGTCCTGGTTCTTCTTCTGCCTCTCAGACTCTTTTTCTTCCATCTCCTCAATGGACTTCTCCACATCACTTACACATTGGTGTTCCTCAGGTTATCATTTCCAGTCCACTATTTTTTCTCTCCACAACTATCCCCAGGTAATTTCATTTACTCTGGCAAGTATAACTACCAGCTATGTGATGCTAACTTCCATATCTATTATCCCAAGCTCTGACCTACCCACAAAGCCTTAAACACAGATCTAACTATGATTGGTTCATAGATATCTTGAATTCAGTGTGGCAAAATATAAACTCATTATTTTCTCCCAAAACTCCTTCCTCCTCCTCCTGTATTCTTTATCCTAGGCAGTGGCAGCACCAGATTTCCAAGCCTAGATTCCTCCCTATCATTCCTATCCCTTAATTTTATATGCCAACTTGGCTAGACTGTTATGTCCAGTTGTTTGGTCAAACATCAATCTAGATGTCACTGTGAAGATACCTTTTACATATGACTAATATTTAAATCCACAGGCTTTGAGTGAAGCAGATTACCATCTGTAGTGCG